TTAAAGGTACATGCAAACATTATGTATGGTAGTATGTTATCAGACTATGGTTTATAATATATATAAAAAAAGACACAAATGAAATGTCCAAAACAGGGCATTAATTAGGTAACTTATAGAACATCTGTTTGATGAGATATTATGCAGCTACCAAAAATCATGTTTGCAAAGAATTTATTTAAGTATATGGAAAATGCTCACCATATGTTAAATTTCTTTTAAAGTAAGTATATTACACACTGAGAAGTATTGCTGAAGGAAACAAGATATAAATAAATGGAAATACATTTTATGTTTATGAGTTGGAAGACTCAATATTGTTCAGATATTAATCCTACACAAAGTGATCTACAATTCGATGCAGTCCTTATCAAAATTCTAATAACTTTTATGTAGGAATAAAAAAAAATCCCTCCTAAAATTCACATAGAATCTCAAGGGACCCTAAATCCCCAAAACAATCCTGAAAAAGAAGAACAGAACTGGAGAACTTGAACTTTCTGATTTCAAAAGTACTACAAAGCCACACGGATCAAAACAGTGTGGTACTAGCATAACAATAGACATATCGACCAACGGAAGAGAACAGAAAAACCCAGAAACAAGCCTTCCACATATATGGTTAACTGATTTTTGACAAGGTTGGCAGGTTCCCATTGAATGGGAAAAGGACAGTCTTTTTAACAAATGGTACTGTGAAAAATGAATATCCACATGCAAAAGAATGAAGTTAGACTCCTACCTTACACCATATACAAAGACTAAATCAAAATGGATTAAAGACCTAAAGAACTAAAACCATAAACTCTTAGAAGGAAACAGAGGGGAAAAATTTCATGACACTAAATTTGGCAATGATTTCTTGGATATGACACTAAAGCATAGGCAATAGGTAGACTTCATCAAAATAAAAACTGTGCGACAAAGGAGACTATCAACAGAGTGAAAGGCCATGGAATGTAAGAAAATATTTGCAAATCATAAATATCTGATAAGGCATTGGTATCCAAAGTATTTAAAGAACTCCTACAATCCAGCAACAAGAAGCACAGAGCAAAAAAGCAAACAAACAAACAAAAAAACACAAAAAAACCCCAACCAATCAAACAAATGAACAAACAAAAACAAACCCAATTTTTAGTACAAGGACAGGAATAGACATTTTTCCAAGGAAGATAAACAAGTGGGCAATAGTCATATAAAAAGATGCTTCACATCACTAATCACTGGAGAAATGCAATCAAAATTACAATGAGATACTACTTCATCCCTGTAAGGATGGCTATTATAAAACACAAAAATAAAATAGAAAATAACAAGTGTTAAGGAAGATGTGGAAAAATTAGAAATGTTGTGCATTGCTGGTGGGAACGTGAAAGGTTGCATGCACTGTGGAAGACTGTTTGGAAGTTCTTCAAAAAGTGAAACATTGAATTACCAGATGATCCAGCAATTTCCCTTCTATGCATATTCCCAATATAATTGAAAGCAGGGACTCAAGCAGGTATTTGTGCACCAGCGTTCATAGCATTATTCACAAGAGCCCAAAGATGGAAGCAACCCAAATGTGCATTGAGGGATGAATGGATGCAAAATATGTGGTAGATGCATAGAATGGAATATGATTCAGCCTTAAAAAGGAATGAAATTCTGACAAATGCCACAACATGGACCAGTCTTGAGAGCACCATGCTAAGTGAAATGAGCCAGGCAGGGTGAATGCTGTATGATTCCATTTATTTGAGGTACATATAAGAGTCAGATTCGTGGACACAGAGAGTGGAATGGTGGTTACCAGGGGGTACTGGGAGGTGGGGGATGGGGACTCAGTGATGAATGAGTGTGGAGTTTCAGTTTGGGATGATGACAAAGTTCTGGAGATGAATACTGCTGACGGTCGCATGGCAACGTGAATGTGCTTTATGCCACCGAATCGAATACTTAAAGATGGTTATGATGGTAAATTTTATGTTATGTGTATTTTACCACAATTTAAAACATTTTCCATGAACAAAAAGAAAAGAATACATCTATGTTAATTTTATCAATATTAACTTCTTGATTTCAATAATTCTAATGAGGCTGTAAGAAAACAGTAAAATGGGGTGAATACTAGGGATTAGAAGGGAATTAAGCAGCATTTACAACAGTTTATTTTAAGGTACTTGTAGTCCTCTTACTTTATAATAGGAAATAAAGCAATAATAAATATAATTAATGTCTTAAATATTTTTTTTATTGGTTCCTTTCCCTCCTTGGGCTTTCTCCCTCTTTCTCCCTTTACTCTTTCCATTCCATTACCTTATATCACCAAAGCTTACACTCAAGAACCTGATAACATTTCAAGGTCTTCTTTAATCCTGGTAATTCGTGCTCTGGGCACAACTGTGTTGTGGGCAAAGATCACTGGGTGATCGTCTTCACCCAGCCTTCCTTGTATGCTGCCTCAGTTGCAGCTAGCAGCTATGCTATGGTCACCAGGGATACCTACCTGCTCCAGGACTATGCAGATGCTAAATATGGTGGGAGACAGACAAATCCTGGGGCCCTGATGACATTGCTGAGCTGCTGAATCAACCATCCCTAAATCCTGTGCCATCCCAATACTTCTGTCACATGAGCTAGTAGATTTCTGTATCGCTTGTCCTTTTGATATGGGGCTTCTGCTACTTCCAGTCTAATGTTCCTGAAGCAATTCAGATTCATTTTTGGCTGAGAGATGAGGTTGAATTTTTTTTAAGACTTTATTTATTTATTTAAGAGAGAGAGAGAGAGCAGTGGCAGGGGGAGGGGCAGAGGGAGAGGGAGAAGCAGGCTCCCGACTGAGCAGGGAGCCTGATGCAGGACTCGATTCCAGGACCCTGGATCATGACCTGAGCCGAAGGCAGACGCTTAACTGATGGAGCCACCCAGGCGCCCTGAGATGAGGTGGAATTTTGATCAAGGTTTAGAGAACAAGCTGCTCACCAGAGGGAAGGTGGAGAAGAGTAATTCAAGGCATGGAAATGATGTGAGCAAAGGCAAAGAGACATGAAAATGCTTGGTGTGCTGGGAGGACTCAGGTGCGTCAGAGCGTCAGGTGACAGGAGAGCGAGTGGATGGGTTGGGGCTAAGTTCTTGTAAGAAGAACTTTCCCTTGTTGACACTGGAGAAATATCAAAGGTTTTTAAGCAGGGAAATGACTTGATCAGATCAGTCTTTGAACATACACACCCTTCTTCCTTTCTAAAATTCTAGCAATGAGAGCACAAGACAGAACAGACAGCAGAAGAACCAGTGTAATTGAATATCGTGCCCTACTCCCCTACAGCCTTGTGTGTATAGTGTGCTAACACACCTGCACACACATATACTATACGTACAAGGACAAGGTTGTGTAAGTGTATTTAACTGTGTGGGGGGGGTGTGCATAGATATAGATTGAGAGAATGAAGCTTTGGGTTATCCTATTTATTTAATTCAATCCCTGCTTGGTCTTATGCAATGACCTCATGGTAAGACTCCGGAAGCTAGTGCTGTCGTTACTTTGACAAGAATCTTTCTGATTCCACAATGGAAAATCAGTGATCTCTGAGCTGTGGTTCTAGCTTCTGATGCCACTTCTATTATCAATTGTTTGACATTAGAATTGGACTTCAGCTTACCTTACATAAAATGAGTTATCTACATTATAGATGATCTCCAGGTCTAAAATATGTTAAAAATCAAATGACCTCATTGTTCTATAGTGCCTGATTTCCTTCCTTCCTCTTTCCCTCCCTCTCTTTCTTTCTTCTCCTCCTGGTTCTTCTTTTTTTTTTTTTGCATTTTCCAATAGGAATTTCTTTGAATACAGTACTCAACAATCACCTCAGAAAAAGTCACATATACTCTGTATTAGCTAGACATGTGTGTTGAACTACAAATAACAGAACAACCAATTACAGTGGCATAAATGAGTTTGGATTTATTTTACTCCCATTACACAAACTGTGAAAGTCAAACATTGCTGGCATTGTCCTTAGTAGAGAATGCACCATCCGATCTGTTGGGAGCCTGACTAGAACAGAAGGGTGGAGGAAGGACAAATTAGTTCTCTGCTTAAGCTGAGACATCCACCTTCTCTTGCCTTCAGATGCCAGCGCTCCTGGTTCTCAGGCCTTGGGACTCAGACTGAGTTACACCACCAGCTTTCTTGGTTCTCCAGCTTGCAGATCACAGGACTTCTCAGACTCCATTGGTGAGGGAATACTTCTCATAAATCTCCTCATATTATCTATATGTATCCTGTTGGTTCTGTTCTCTGGAGAGCCCTGACTGATAGACGTCGGTTCAGGGGCTGGACCACCTCAAGGCTAGCATTTCTGAAACTCTGGCATTTCCATCACACTTGTCACCTCTTGGGTATAAAATGCCCAAAGAGGAGGGAATTGTGGCATCAGGGGGAGCTCCTCCCCTCCACCAGGAAGGCAGAAGTTTTTCCGGAACCATTTCTTCTCGCTTTCTCCACCAGCATTCCTCCACTTAGGTTTCCGTGTCCAGGGAGTGTCATGTGACAGCCTCAGCACCAAAAGAGTCTACCAGAGATCTGTGAACTCAACTTTTACATACAGTTTAGGGGATTCGAAAACCTTCTGAAGCCCATCATGGAAGCCAGCTTCAGAATCCCCGTTTTAATAGCTGGGTCACTCTCTCTCTGAACCTCAGCTTTGTAGAGCCTCACTCCTCAGAGAAAAACTGAAATCTAAACAGATTTTTAGTAATCTGGTTTGAAGAAACATCTTGTTTAAACACCAGAGAATCCAATGAGACAATGTATCATAAAAGTGCTTCGCAAACTGTAAAGTTCTCCTTAATATGAAGGCATGTTTTTATTGTGAGAGGCGTGTTTTATTTGTTCTGGGTCACACATCTCGGCTTCCACTTGCGTTGTGTGGGTTTGTGTATGTGTGTGTGTGAATATTAAGAGGAGGGCAAAAGAAAAACACAAGCAAACCAATGCCAGGAGCACACAGAAAATATTTTATTAGTTCCCAGATTGAGAAATGATGAGGAACTTATTTCAATAGTAATCCATGACCCGTCTCAGAGAGCCCACTCGGGCGTCCGTGGCCCCCCAGTCGTGGTAGCGCCTGTAGTCCCCCGGTCTCAGCAGGTACTGCCGCCCCCGGTAGCTGGGCAGCTCGTAGAGGACCCAGCAGCCCTCCAGCACGTGGAGGGAGTGGAGCTCATTGAAGTGGAAGCGGTCCTGAATAGAGGGGCAGTCCTCGGTGAACTCCATCATCTGGCCTCTGTAATCTTCCCTCTCATAGAGTTTGATCCTGTGGGAGCCAGCCTGGCCCATCCAGGGATGGAAAGAGGAGGAAAGCAAGACATGAAATGGTGGCAACACATTCATGCAGTCCGGCGCAAGCTATTTTTAGATATATGGTGAGCCTTAACTAATTTTCAATATTTAGATATTCCCCATTTTCAAAGGCAGAGACTCAGTACTTTTTCAAGACCACGAAGCATGATAGAAAGCATTAAGAAGTTCCACTCCCTATATTTAAATACTTCCCAGGATGAAATGCTCACCATACCAGAGAGAAGCTCAAACTTTTAACAGCTTATTACTATTTTTGCCATTTTGAAGAGATATTTTTAATTTTTCAAGCATGTGTGTTTGAACAGTAAAGTCAGTTTATGAAATGAATGACCTTGCATTGGGTTTAAGATAAATCTTGGAAAAATAACCAAGGACTCGGATATTTCTGTTTCTGTGGAAAGCAAAATTAAACATCTTAAGTCTTTCAGACAATAATCGGTTCTTGTCTAATAATTTAGGAATAGAATGAGGAAAAATGAGAAAGAAAAATCAGTTAAGGCCCAGGACTAATTTTTAAAAAACTTTAGCGTTTTAAAACATATTTGAAATACATGTGGGTATGTGCATAAAATTTCTCTGTGTTTCTCTCCACTGAGAGAAAGGGCTTCTATTGGTATAGGTGGGGTAAACCAAAATATGCAAGTGGGGAGCAAAAGAGAGAGAGAGGTCTTAAAAAAATGGACCCTTGCAAAAGTTTCTTTTTCAACCCCTATCTGCTCTGTTAACTACCATGTGTTTTTTCACTTAATTATTCTTCTATGGGATATTAGTGGTTTTTCTGCAACTCCACTGTAAGTTACTCCAGAACAGGACCTATAGCTCGTACATGCCCGCGGCAGCCAACACATTCTTAATAAATATTTGTGGATTAATGGGTACCTGGGAACGCTTTGCTTCTGTTTGGGGCCGACCACATGGAGCTACTACTCTACCATAGCTTGTCTCGTGTCCAAACCCTCAATCATTCGGAAAGATCACTACTCCAAATGTTTTAAGTTTTGCTGGAAACTCTCCATTCTGTGTCCCCACAGGGAGCCAGACTCACGTGGGGGATGAGGCGGCAGGAGCGGATGGAGTCGCTGAGGCCCAGCCACTGCTGGTAGTCGGGGTAGTCCCCGCGCCGCAGGAAGTACTGGTGGCCCGCGTAGTTGGGCTGCTCATACAGCATCCAGCAGCCGCTGTCCACGCGGATGGAGTTGCAGCGGCTGAAGTAGGGCTGCAGGTTCGGGTGGTCACAGCTGCACTCGTAGCAGCGGCCCTGGAAGCCGCGGTCCTCGTAGAAAGTGATCTGCAAGGCAAGGGAGGGAAAGGCTCAGAGGCCTGGCCCCCAGCCCCGGCGTGCGGGCCCCCCTCCCGGCCTGCGGCTGCGCTGGGCTCACCTTCCCCATGGCTGGTGGATGGAGGTCAGTGATGGGCCGCCCTGGCGCGCGCGTCTATATAGCAGGAGGGTTGCTGCGTTGGCAGGAACAACACAAAAGGGGCCCGCGGGGTGAGGAGGGGATTTTCGTGTGCTCTTTTTTCTCTTTGCTGTCATAGTCCACGGGGCTCATTGTAGGTTTTGGTCCCTTTCTCTCTGGAGTATTCGGGTTGCTATCACTGGCTGATGCTATTGAGACGGTTTGAAAAAAAAAAATAACAAGTAATTTAGAACATTGTTGATTTAATAATAGAAATAGAGCTTCAGCCATTTCATATATAGTCTACACTTTTATTTGTATAGGCTGGGGAAAAACAAAAAAGTGTAAGTCAGGGAGCAAAAAAAAGCAGAGTCTTAACATGGTAAATATAAAATTAATCTGTCAGAACTATCAAGGGACATGTGTGCCACAATATTGAATACAATTGTTAATAGGAAGGAAATGACCTTAATGGAATGTTGAAAATTTCAACTTAGTCCTTTAAGAGAATTTTCTTATTAAAGGGTGTAAGAAATTGGAATGTTTTACCCAGGGAATTCACAGAACTTCAAACATGCAGTATGGTAAGAACAAAAACAAAAACAAAACAAAACAAAACAAAAAAATCCCAGCAAGCACAGATCTTCAGTATTTGGTCTGAATTTGTTACAGTCTGGAAGTAGACTGAATTTGTTACAGTCTAGAAGTAGACTGAGAATTAGAGGTTTCATCTTGCCTAATTGTAATTCAAAAGGGAGAATAGTTTTAAGAGGCTTCATCTCAGAAAGAACTAAAAGGGAAATTTCTAACTTGAATGAGATAAGAAAAAGTTCAACACAAAAATCAGTTACCTCTCAGATTATTATAAAATAAAACCAAATTCCTAAGAAATCCATTTCTAGGAGGAATCTAGATACACCTTTTCCTCGGGAAACAAGAGTACATAAAGCTTTTGACTCAACAGAGATTAATTGCATGAACACAAAGAGGAGCTACAGCAAAAATGGGGAGAGGAAGGAATAAATCTGGAAGCTGAGACTCTAGGAAGACTTTAGAAAGTATTTATTAGCCTGGAAGATAATAGTTTGATGGACTGGAAGGAGCACTGGAGTGGAAGATGACCTATGACTTTAGCCTCTTTCATGTTCAAAGAATTATTCACAGTCCTGTGTTGTCTCATGGAAATACTTTGTCTTGACTTTGGGTCATAAGTCTTTGTAAGTTGGTATTTATAAATAAAACACCAACTATGTGCAATATGATGATTTCAGTTCTTGTTATCCACTATAGATAGGCATATGTTTGCAAAATTACTTCCGTTTACGGAGTGGAAAATAAGCTGCCCAAATCAAAAGAATAAAAAAAATAATCATTTTAATTAAAAATTTAAAAAACAATAATTAACAAAATAAAATTTTTAAAATTGCCATTTTGCTCAGAGTTGTTTCTGTGGGGAGAGTGTTGATTGATAAAAACAGTAAAACATGAGAAAGAAGCAAATGCAGAGTCCCAGAGAAACTTAGGGGAGCGGGAAGGGGTATGGCTGTGAGGACTGCCACTACCATAGCTGACATGCAGTTACAAATTTGGGATACATCTAGAGGGCCCAAACAAGGGGACTCTGCGTTTGGTTTTTTCATTGACTAGGAAGAGAAAAGGCTTTATTTCAGCCTGGGGAAAGAAACAGGGAAAAAGAAAAAAAAAAACAACTCACAGTTTTCATCAAGCTGAAAAATGAATGGCATGGGCCAAAATGTGGCTTGATTTTAACGCTTTTCAGAAAATTCCGGCATTGACAAGTGTGTGTTCGACCGAAGCCCCAAGTTACACTTAGTGTGCTGAGTGAGCAGAAGTTAAGACTTGAGAATCCTTACGCCTATAGCCCTGAGGCAGAGTTCTATACAAGCTGCCTGGAATGACTGATGGGGACCGTCTTGGAAGGAGAGTAAGAGGTAAGTGTCAGGCACCCTCATCCTGAGCTCTAGTCTGGCAAGTAACCCTTTGTCACTCCTAAATATTCAGGTGGTTTCAAACAAAGGTAAAGGCAAAAGGCACGAGTTCAGGTTAGAGTTTTGCTGCATGTAGGGTCAAAGATTTCTGTAGCTGCTGTAAATGTCAGTCTATAAAATGAAGTATATAAGAAATACCACTTCCCTTATTTCCTAGAGCTCAAAATATTTTATGAATCTAAGTCTCATTCCACTAGGATGGAGAGAAAATTTCACTGTAGTCATTGCTGGGGTTTCGTCACCTCATGTTTCCAAGCTCCGTGTTTGGGCTCTGTGGGCTTACCATGAGACCAAGGTATTTCATGGGGGGAGAGGGTACACTGGGAACTCCCGGGCTGTGCTCGGTGGTGGCTCTCCCCAGCTTTCACACCAGCATGGAAATGAGAACTGGCAGCTCCGAGGGCTGTGGAGCTGGGATGTTATTTTATTTGGCTGGCACAATGTTTAGATGTTCTCCATGATGCTTTGGGATGGTTTGCACTTTCCGCAGCTCACCATACTCTTCATCACTCCTTGTGGTCTTAAAGGAGGTTGTTTTGCTCATGTACATCATCTCTCTGGCCCCTGAAGGTATTGAGCTGCAACCTCAATCAAGAGTCTTCAAACTCTGCTCAGTTTTTGCCAAATGAAAACACTATACAGCAGAACAAATTCCATATTTTATTAGGAACTTGTGTATTTGGGGGTGTTAAAATGTCCTTTTGTAAATGTTCTTTTTTGTTATTGTTATTAAATAACATTTATGTTATAAATAACATTTATAAAAATGTTATTATTTTTATAAAATAATGTATGAGTAGATGGTGCTTAGTTTTACGATTTTGTTGTTTTGTTTTTAATCTTAAAGGTCCTTGCTTGGCGAAATAAAAGTTGGCAATCCTGTATTGGTCTCTGTTTAAAGAGAACTGGTCTGGGAAATCTAAAATGTTGAGAACCATTTGATTTGATATCATGATTTAAGCCATTTGGTATCATAAGAAATATGTAAATAAATATTACTGCATTTGTTTCCCCCAGAAATTTGTCTTGGGATGACTTTAAAGTACTAAATAAAAGTACTTGATAAAAGTGATTACATATGTATTATTTAGTACTTGAGAAGTACTTGACTTTAAAAAGTGATTACATGCTTACTGTTTAGTGTAAGAATTCATATTCTTTCTGTGTAGAGCTCTGTGGTGGTGGGGACAATGCCTTTTATTTGTTTTGGTTGTTTTTTTTTAATCCCCAGTGCTACATATGGCAGGCCTATGGTAGGTGCTTAGTAAATGGTAGAGATACTAACTCAAAGAAGGTAGGATCTTTGGTGGCTAACAATTGGGCAGTCTATTAAAATTAAAAATATATTGTGCTATCATTGGGCAGTCTCATTTCTAGGTCTCTAGCTTCTAAAAATTATGGTATGTATAGATAAAGGTGTATGTGCAATGATATTCTTTACAGCCTTGATTATAAAAGGAACATTGGACAAGCCCAGTCACCAATGGGTCAATGGTAACACAATCTAGGGAGCCTTCAAATAAGAAATAATGCAGTCATTAGACAGAATAAGGTCCTGACCTAGATCTATGTCTGTATCATTTTGCAGGTTAAAAGCAAGTTGCAGATTAATATGTACAGCATGATTCCATATTTGCCAATAAGTAAATAAATAAAAAGCGTGTTTCATGAGATGTCAATATAAGGAAGGAAAAACTTCAAGAGGGGTGCCCACCAAGTGTAAAGAAGGGTTAGCAATGAAGAGTGGGACCAGAAGGACCCTCTCTTCTTTCTTTATAGAATTTGTAAAGTAGTACGATTATAGGAGGTTTTACTTAGGAGGAAAAATTTTAAAAATAAATTAATTCTCTACTGATGAAAAGATTTTTAATTTTTTTTTTTTTTTTTTAACTTGTAGGGCTTTGCTTGTGAGCAAGCAGATTTTCAACTTCAGTTGAAGTCTATTTAAGTGCGCCTGGGTGGCTCAGTCTGTTAAGCGTCTGCCTTCAGCTCAGGTCATGATCCCAGGCTTCTGAGATTGAACCCCATGCTGGACTCCCTGCTCAGTGTGAGACTTGCTTCTCCCTCTCCCTCTGCTCCTCCCCGCTGCTTGCTCCCTCTCTCAAACAAACAAACAAACAAACAAAATCCTTAAAAAAATCAAAGTCTATTTAAAATATTAACATATATCTCATTAATTTATTTGAACTAGCTGCACTTCACGTAGGGTCAGGTCAGGAGGCATTTTAGAGTAGGAGGGGGGGTCTTCAACCGGTCCAAGAGTATGGCAATGTCCAATGGCAGCTTTGACATTAGTTACGTCATCCTGGGCTCAAAAGTAAACAATACTACAATTTCCTTATGTAGTCTAATCAGGCTTTTTGCCAGGTGGGCTTCTCCTCACTGCTCATCTGTGACCCTCGATGGCTTCCAGTCACCTGCTGGGTCCGAAGGAAGCTCCTGGAATGCTGTTCCTCAGGGCCCTCAACTGACCGCCTCCCTCCTCACCAGTCAGTCACCTTCTCCCATCTTGCTGTGTTGGCCTCCTTTTCTTTCTTACACAGGCTACCTCCTCTTTCTACCCCTACTTCTGAGCCTGTTTCGGACTCATTCTACCTTGCGGAGCTTCCGGAACTGACCCCTCCTCACTTATTCGCTCCTCAGCCTTTAACAGGGAGCATTTACAGGTGGATTAATTGGCACAACAGTGAAAGAAAAACAGAAGTCAGCAATTGCCAACAATACAGACTAAATACTTTATTAGGTTCCAAATTGAGAAAATGGTAGTGTGAACCTATTTTAGTATAAATCCACCACCCTCCGCAAAGAGCCTGCCTTAGCCTCCGTGGCCCCCCAGTCGTGGTAGCGCCTGTATTCCTGGGGTCTCAGCAGGTACTGCCGCCCCCGGTAGTTGGGCAGCTCGTAGAGGACCCAGCAGCCCTCCAGCACGTGGAGCGAGCGGACCTCACTCAGGTGGAAGCGATCCTGGATGCAGGAGCAGTCCTCG